TTAATGTCCAGCAGGAAAGCCACTAGCTGGACATTAAAACCAGGAATACAGCAACCTGAATTTTCTTTTTCAGCTTTGGTGGACAGACTACTTTTAGCTGTCTAACAATGACTTTCTTCCAGGTCAAGAGATAGTCCAGCAGTAAACACTCACCATGTTTTCTTTCGGGGGAGCACAATTTCTTCTCGAGTAACTATGAGAAACAATATTAAAATTGTTATTAGAGACAAACAGATGCCCAGAGAAAATCCTGCCCTCATGAAAACTGATGATTTGAGCTGATCCAGCTGAAAGTACTAAAGCAAGGGTTTTAAAACCACAGTCTAACGTAGGCAACAATTTATTGCAATGGTAATAGAAAAGGCTGGCAAGGAGCTTAAGTGTCTTGTGTCAAGACAGGATCAGGGCCCTATGGTGAACAAATGTCAAAGTGATGGTACTCATTTATCCATTCAAGCTTCCTCAATCATCCTTATCCTGTATCTTCTCACTTCAGCCCCAACCCTTCCTAGTCCCTTGCTTTCCTACCCTTAGTCCCTCAGTTCAAAGTTTGTCACCCCCACTCATTTGGTTTCTCCAGTTCAGCCTGCTTGAATACTGCAGGAAAGTGCCCTCTCAGGTTTCTGCTCTGAAGCCTGACACCAACTGCTCAGTTCCTTCCACCCCAAGGATCAATTTTGCCAGTTTTCCTCAAAGAGGAAAGAACAAAAAGCACAATACCAAAAGAAGAAGCAAAAGGTTGTTGCCAAAGCATCTCAGGAAATTCATTCACAAAGAAGCATGAGGGATCTGCTGATTACAACGCCCAGAGCCAGAGTCTGCAGCAGCACTTTTCCCACTGCCTCTGTGTTGATGCTTCCATGAGCTGTTACTGACTGGCAGGAATTTGTTCCCATGTGCAGCATGGCTCCAAGCATCCTAGCTTACTTTCCTCACAAAACTCATAGCAGAAATATGTAAGGAGTACAGAGAAGCAGCAAGAATGTGAAGGAAACTGTCAGGATCAAGGTGGAAAATTCTCTATTTTTATTTTATCGTCTACTCCATTTCAAAGAGTAGCTGGACAGCTCACGGAACTGGACAACTCAGTTCATGCTCTTGGAGCAGAGCTGGTTGGTGGTGAGGGTAATCAAGTAAAGCCAGAAAATCTCTGCACAGTGAAGATGGGAGAAAAGAGGGCATTCATGTCTTTATCTCCTGACACACCGTGTTGTTTGGAGACTAAAAACACATACGCAAGAAACCAGTAATTAAGACATCATACCTTCTGAATTGTCCACAGTCTTCCCAAGAGCCGTACTACTAGAAGAGCACCTATAAACCAATTAGAGTTTTGAATTTATGGTAGCTGCATTAACGTAGCAAAAGTGGATTAATGAAATTCTGTACTACAGGTCAGAATTAATTAAAACATTAGAGGGGAAAAGTAACCGGAAATGTTGTACTGTTACTAACTCAAAATTATTATTATAAAACTCATATTTGATGCTTCTCTTAAAGATTTAATTTCAAGAGACAAGAAGTTATACACAGAAAAATGTATTACATAAAATTTGTCATGCCTTATTTTTGGAGATGTCTTGGTTTTAAAGTACTTCTCATGAATTACTGCATCTTATAAAGAAAATCCTGAACATAAATCAGAAAAGACACTTCATGTTTTAGAGGCAGGATCTAGCTGAAAGCAGTGCCTTTTTTTAACAGTATTTTAGACCTGACTAGTATTTACACAAGGAGAAGACCCTGAGTTGGGATGCAGGGAAATCAGAACTGTTTAGTTCCAGATGCCCAGCCTCTACAGAGCTGCAGACAGCACATTCACATAACCACAGCTGCAGAAGGGACATCCACATAAACTTGCTTCTGTTGTGTATCGCAAAGCAGCTGCTTTGTGCTCAGTTCAGAGTCACAGGACACTGCTCCAAGTCCTTCTTACAATTGTTCACATTTTCTTGTTTTTAACACAAATTAAAGCTTATGTTAAAATACTTTTACTTCTTTTGCTCATGAAGCAACCCAACACTAAAGCCTTACTGTAACTCTGGCACTTGCAGGTGCTTCCACACTGATCTTGACCCTGAGGGAGACGCTGTTAATGTGCAGCACATACCTCTGTGCTTTACGGTCATACTGTACAATTCTAGCTGTTCCTGCATGTCACATGAAATTATTAGGTATGATCTTACCATCTTAGATGTGAGTTATACTTTGCCTATAAAAAGTACCCAGTGGAGCAGGACCTTTTCACTTGACGCAAACCCTGAAAGCAACCTCCCCCTTCGATCTGCTTTTTTTCTAAGATTCAGCTCTAGGAATCACTTAACAGCTCAAACTCACTCCCGGGGT